TTTAGAACGGTAGAAAAATGACACTTGAGAACTCATAATAATTTTCTTCATTTAATTCTTAAAACAGGGCAGGTTTTTTCAAATTAATTTTTGTATCAATTCTGAATTGTCTTCTCGTATAACTCGTAAGTCGAAAAATCAAAAAGAAGCACAAATCCAGCGTTCGAAAAATGCAAGTATTAGTTATCAAAATCTCTGAATTTACAATTAAAATACTCTTTAACCGCTTTGGAAAACTGTTTCTAAAATAAAGTTCACTTGTTTTACAATCCTGACTCATAAGAAGTGTAATCATGTTTTATCGCAATGCAGTTATTCGGCTTCTTAAATTGAAACAGCTTTGTTATATTTCAATATATGAATTCATTCCTAAGCAAACTACATGATGTTATTACAAATTTTGGATTTTGAGAAAAGAGCATCAGTACATAAGTTATCTTTTGGACTAAAACACTGCAGTTTGGTGTTTATTTGTCTTCTTTTGAATCTTTCTCTAAGTACATGTCCTTACACTGATGATACTTTAGAGGACCCATATTACTACTCTTGCATAGTTTTTTAACAATTCTTGGACTGATTTAGTTATGTGATATTCTCAGGTGAAACTGCTTTCCTCACGAGTGTTAGATGTGTCCGCTTTGTAATAGAAAGGTTGATCAAGAAAATTGTGAAGTATTTGAGTTTAACTAAACGACTGAGCTTGAGTTAAGAAAATAAACAAACTGAAAATGTGCGTGATGTCAAGTGAAACAATATTAATTAGATGACATAAAAACACAGTGTGCAAGCTAGTGTAAACACTGGACAGTCGTTTTCTACAGGATTGGTGTATTAGTGAACAGCTTTTGACCAGTGAGAAGTTTTTTTGTTGACTTATTCACTGTATGGACCTAGTAGAATTGATGTTAATCCAACGGTCAGTACTAACAGGAACCGTTGAATTTCTATTACAACGTAGTGAAAGCTGTAACTTCTAAATATTATCTACTCGGCTATTGTAGAACATTGCTGTCGTTAACTAGATTCTATAGAATATGTAACAAATATTGCACCATTCTCATTACGTGCAAAATGAATATTGTCTGCTATAGAACAATAAAGGAACAAGAGTAACTAGAACGAAAATATCTCAATGATATCCTGTACCACGTGTATAGGTGAAAACTGCATAGAATTGTACTAGATGAAAAATTTTAATAATTCCTATACTAATAAAAGAGGAATTATAGTATGCATGCATACTATAGTTATAACAGAATCAGACAAAAGATATAAGGTAGTGACTTTAGATAACGCGATTATATAAGTTTAACTATATATTCGCAGTAAGCAGCAAGTTTGATAAATTAGTTATGTAGTGTGCTAATTATTTCGTATTCAGATATAATAAATGGGGTTTGAAGCATGTTTTTTAAGTGGGTGTCTTTTGTGCTCATAGTATCATTTTATGTTTTATTGCCTTATATACACTATGATTACGTGTATAAAGGAGTTAGTAATGACATTAAAACTTGCACACAGTATTTTTAATCTGGTTTTGAACTACCATGAAAAACGATATTTGGTAACGGCCGACTGATTTTATCCACTTCTTTTTAGACGGTATGCTGACGATACATTCGTCATTTTTCAGTCACAAATTCAAATTAATGAATTCCTATAATACTTAAATGGCACGGCATGGCCAGGTGGTTACGGCATTCCACTCGCAATCTGAGGGTCGCGGGTTCGAATCCCGTCACACCAAACATGCTCGCCCTTTCAGGCATGGGGGCGTCATAATGTGACGGTCAATCCCACTATTTATTGGTAAAAGAGTAGCCCACTGCTAAATTAGGGACGGCTAAGATAGCCCTCGTGTAGCTTTGCAAAAAATACTTAAACTGCAAACATCCAAATGTAAAGTTTCCAGTTGAATGTGAACATGGATTCAACTTAACTTTTCTGAATACTTCAGTGTAGAATAAGAAAGAAGCTTCAAGATTCGAGTATATCAAGACTATGTTCTCACTTTAATAGTTATGTTTCTACAGTATTTATAGTTAAAAAAGTAAAATAAAAATTAAGTAAATCACTTGTTACGGGATTGTAAGCAGTTATTAGTTGCTACGTGACGAAATAACTTGTATCGAGAACTTTCTACGTATTTTATGGATACGAATTAGAAGTGCATGTTTGAACCTAATGTAAGAAAAATAAAATTTTCATTTTAAGGCTATCATCTCTAAAATTAGTTTGTCATCTAGAAATGTACATGTTCTGATGTAAAAGAGCATGTAGGCTCCACAACTTAGTGGCTGTGCACTCCATTAAAATAACATACTTCTGCTAAACCTGAAAATTCGTACACAACGTTTTATAATGAAATGTTGAAGTCACAACTAATAACTTTAGGATAGTCGACTTGCGAATGAGTAGCAACTACGGGTAGGAGAGAATCTGGTGATTATTAACTAAAACTAATCTAAATATAGCAAAACAATGGAATCTGGTGATTAGTAACTAAAACTAATCTAAGTATAGCAAAAACAATGGAATCTGGTGATTATTAACTCTAAGTATAAAACAATAATCTATTATTCTAAAACTAATCTAAGTATAGCAAAACAATGGAATCTGGTGATTATTAACTAAAACTAATCTAAGTATAGCAAAACAATGGAATCTGGTGATTATTAACTAAAACTAATCTAAGTATAGCAAAACAACGGAATCTGGTGATTATTAACTAAAATTAATCTAAGTATAGCAAAACTAGGTAATCTGCTGATTATTAACTAAAATTAATCTAAGTATAGCAAAAACAATGGAATCTGGTGATTATTAACTAAAACTAATCTAAGTAGAGCAAAACAATGGAATCTGGTGATTATTATCTAACACTAATCTAAATATAGCAAACTAGGGAATCTGGTGATTATTAACTAAAACTAATCTAAGTATAGCAAAACTATGTAATCTGCTAATTATTATCTAAAATTAATCTAAATATAGCAAACTAGGTGACAGCACTTCTCAAATTATGAGCTTGTTTCATTGTTTGGACATGAATCAAACTGGAAATGTATACGTATATATATATATATATACATATATACCTCAGGCAACAATATAACTGATGTAAATGTTTTTGCAATAACTCGCCTCAATCTTTTTCTAAATAGTTCAACATTCATCAGGTGGAAAACGAAGTTTTATAATAACTATCAAAAACATAGTAATACTAAAATATATCTTCAATTACGGATGTTTAAGAATTGTCTTAAATTCGATTATTTGCGTTAAAGCTTCAGAAGGTTAGTTCAAAATATTCTAACTGCAAAAATAACAACAGCTATTAAGCGAGAAGTTTATCATGCAACCAGAAGTTTATAAAGAACACAGATTTATAACGGTAACAATATAATGGAATTTACGATAACATTGTTAACAGAAAATATTACAAAGAAAGGCTTAGAAATAAATATAAACTGCATTTAAAAATAAATAAATAAATAGCAATAGGAATCTGGAATTGATTAGATTAATGACAACAGAAGTAGTTAGGGGAGACATTGAACACATACGCTAATTGGCTGCCTCAGGCGATAGGTGTGGGTTAGACAATGACGTCATATTGCATCGAAGTGGTACCAGAGGGCGTATTGCTAGGGATTTCACGTGACATCATAGTTTGAGTGCTACTTAACCTGAAACTGTAGTGTTAGGGGATTGAAATGTGGTGATATCATAGTTTTACACCAGAGGGTGTGTTTCTATAGGCGAAAGTGTTACTAAAGGTAATTTTTCTATAATAACACAATCCGCCTATAGAAATACCGTTCGCCTATAGAAACGTTGCCTTTAGTAACATTGTCCGCCTGTAGAAACACACCCTCTAATCTCGAACTATGATGTAACCCACTTTTATTTCATAGAAATACACCCTCTGGTGAGTAACACTCAAACTAAGATGTCGCGTGATATCCCCTAGCAATGCGCAACTAAAAATACGCTCTCTGGTGCAACTTCTTGACAATGTGACGTCATAATCTAGTCACGCCTCTATCACCTGAGGCAGCCAGTCAGCGGGTGTGTCCAGGGTATCCCCTAAATACTAACAGGGAAGAGTTAATGTTATTATTTAGTACTTGGAGATCATTGAAAATGGAAAGGCTTTCTTTAATAGAGAGTTTATAATCTGTTGTTCTGGAAGTCTATAAAGTTTTAAAAGTGGTTCTTATTCTGACTATGTTATCAGATACAAGACTCGGGTGGATTAATTAGCTTATATCCACTTCCAGCTGAAATTCCCATGTGCTCTCGTATACGTATACGTATTTGTTAGAGACATGTAATTTTACCGATATAGGTAGATTTACACCTATCACAGGTGTATTTATATATGGCTTATGAGGGCAAAGGGATGGGTAGGTGTTTTCTAGTTTGAAACAAGTTTTGAATTATAAATGTTGACTTAAATTCTAAACTTAACTTAATTTGTGGATAATATGTCTGATATGTCTTGATTCTGTTTTAAATTTGAGTGATGATTGAATCTGATACAATTCTGAGACGTCTGTAATTAAAGATATTTTTTGTTATTATCATGTTTTTAACGTTTGTTATGGTTCAACATGGATTGATGACTGAGATGTCATGTTATAGTAAGTGCATAAAAATTAAGTTACTGTGTAACTAATAACAGGAAAAAAAATAAATGAATGAAAAACTATATTATGTGATTGTAAGATATATTTATTTGATTAAGTTGTTGGTTCAGTGATATAAATACTGGATAAAATATAAAACGTTAAAATGTAACCTCAGAAAAATATTTTAACACTATCCATAATTCAATTTACTATTGAAACATATAACACGTCAGCTAATTTGAATTTTCATCAAACAAAAGCTGCTTATTTGATAAATCGCTAACTCTATGTAACAATAAAATAAAAATAACTGAGACCAAAATTCTGAATTCACGAAAGTAGGCCATTTAATCTTTATGTTCTGTTATGTGCAGGGGCTAAATCAGAGAACTTAGACTCTTCATTCCTGCTGTATAGAAAAGAATAACCAATATATCAAAACTCATTTTAAAGTTGTAAAAAGTTTAGAAGAGGTAAATGTTTTTAGAATACTCTAAAGTCAAAATCTGAAAAACTTATCTTTTTTAAAGAGATAAATAGGATTACTATCATTGCTTAAGTTATTTCATGAATACTTATATTTTTCACTCCAAGTATAGTACACATCGATAGCAGTGTGCTGTGAGCAATAATGTTGAAAGTGGAAGAGAAATGAGTTATAGAAAGCATTAGGAATGGATCTGGTACATGATCTAAAGGCACGTTACAAAGGAACTAGGGAGTATGATCAACCAGTTAAAAGGTAAGTAAATAACCAAAATAGTCAATGTTAGAAGTTTTTAACTTGTCATAAAATATGTACTAAATTTAGTAACATTTTATTAAATTTTCTTACCGCAAACATGAATGAATCAACTTCCTCCTGCATGTCGTCCTCAGTCATCGTATTATCCTTCAGATGGTGATCCAACAACAAATCTAAAAAAGCTTGTCTCTTCTTTCCATACCCAAAAGTTATTTCATCCTGATGACTGTTTTGCTCATCGTATGTTATCGTATTCTGCTTAATCGCTTCTTCTTTACGTGCTCGTATAACCTGAAGTACATACACTTTATCGTTGCCATTGTTTTTTATTATTATTGATAACACAAGTTACCTTAATTGTTTTTGTATGTTAACATAAAAATATGATGAAAGCATTTTTACGATTAACAAGACACTCTAAAATTCAGTAATGAAGAAAAGAGTCAGAAATGACTTTTGAATACAGTGTAGACTTCCATATATAAAATCTAGTCACTCACTTCTTAAGACTCTATCATCCAAACATTCAATAACATTAAGAATAACGTTTTATAATACTGTCCTAAGTTGGATGATTTTTGTATAACCAAAAGTTTATTATCGCAATTGAATTCTTTTAGAGAGCGAGAGAGATTCAGAACTTGTTTTTCAACTAATATCATTTTTCCAATAGCGATATATGTGCATTAATTTCACTAGAAGATAGGCTAACTTTATATATATATATATACTTTTTAATGAAACTGAAAACAATAAAAGTATTATATATTTATACTGATATTGAAACCTGTAACATATTGTTGAAACAGTGTTATATGGAACAGTATTGACACTGTTATTTCAAACACTAGAGCAACTGCGTTTCATAAAACAATACTGAAATTGATATAAAACTGTCATATAAATCACTATCCAACACTGTCTAATACCATTGATACGTTTTTGTCTAAAATACTCTTGAAATCGTATTATATGAAACACTTGATACTTATTAAATAAAACGATACTAAAACCAGGTGTCATAACACATTGCTGAAATTATGTAATCTGAAACTGTGTTAGCTAAAGTACAATTCGGAATTTTTCTATCAAACACTGCAGGTGTAAAGTATGGGAATACCAAATGGTCATAACATAAGCTTTTTAAAGTTTTATATACCTTAGACAACTAACCTGCCGTGTGAAGTTGTCCATTATTTCTGTACTTTTTAGAAACTTCTTGCCCAGCTGTGTTCTATAAAACAGAAAGTCTGACCACAACCAAGGCTTTGCTACTCGTGCGATGAATGTTTCTGCAACACTTGAAAAGAATAATAGAAAAACAAAAATACTGAATATCATCATAGCCACGCTTATTAGTTAAATATTTTTTCCCTATCAACCTTTCCCTTAAAGGAAATATGTAAAACATATTATTAAACTAGAAATTAACAGATGGTAGTTATGGTTAGGTACAGTCTGAAATCCGAAATAAAATCTACAGCTGCACGAGGCTAATGCTCACAAAATTATATACACATTTCATGCACTTTGAGAACCTGAAACATGCCAATGTAGCTGAATTACAGTGCGATATATTGAGAACATGCAACAGCCGGCTCTTGTTAAAGCCAGAAAATCTTTAAAAAGCAAAGCTCCTTTTTCGATGTTGTTCATTCTATAATCTTCTCTAACGTAGTATGATAATAAAACAATTATAGGTTCACTATAATAAACAGTTGAAAAGTAAACTGAGCTTTAAGAAACATTAAGCGTGAGAAAGAACATTTGAATGACTAAACTATTGGCCCAGATTTCTCTCTCCCTTATAAAGCTTTGAAACTTTTGTATTCCAAGGACAGGTGTTGTGATTTTTTACAGGTAAATAGAAAGAGACGAGACTCTGTGTGAAGTAAAAGGCTCATAAGTTAGCTGAACGCTTCCATTATAGGTCTTTTGTTGGTATTTCTGAAGAGAAAATTAAACTAAATCTATCACCTGCATTTAAATATGCTTTACTTTCAAAATAAACTAAAATGGAGTGGCTGATAAATTAAAAGAGAAAGGAATAAACTTGATCAGCAAGTCAAACACACGAGAAAGGAAAATAATGGCTAAACTTGATCAGCAAGTCAAACACACGAGAAAGGAAAATAATGGCTAAACTTGATCAGCAAGTCAAACACACGAGAAAGGAAAATAATGGCTAAACTTGATCAGCAAGTCAAACACACGAGAAAGGAAAATAATGGCCACAACGCTTCATAAGTGCATATAACTTTTGGAAGTTAGAAACGAATCTGTTTGAAAATTCCAAAACTGCTCTTATATTCCAGATTCTCTCTGTAGCTGATAAACTGTAAAACTAGATCATGAGAATGCAAAATATCTATGCTCCACATGACAATTGTATAATTGTTTGTACATATAAAATATATTTTATTGGAATAAGATATATGCTATTTGAATACCACACTGTTTGTTAATAAAATAAGATACATCAAAACATCATCAGCCAAAAAACTAGTTCCAGCAATAGATAAGCCAGCAGAAGCCTCTATTCACTCTTTATACAAGGGACAAGTTTCAGCTCTCACATAAGTTATTATTTAGATAATTTGTTATTATAGAAATCACTAGCTGAGTTACCCGGCGTTGCACGGTAAAAATTTAGATTTGAAATGTATAGATCAGTATTTTTCAGCAAATTAGACAAAAGCTGTGATGTGAGAAATAAAAAAAAGCATTTAATCAAACAAAGCTTTATTTGAAATTGGATCATGTTCGAGCTTGTCTTGTTCTTTGAGCCTGAAGTCGTACATCATGTTGCTCCTCTATTCTTAATCTCTGTAAGTTATCTGTTTTAACTTTTGTGCTTGAAGTCTGGTTTGACGTTGTTCAGAAGTTTCTTGTTGTCTACATCCAGCTTGATTTGATGATTCTGGCTGAACTCTGGCTTTGTGCTGTTCAACAGTTTCTTGCTGTCTCTGAGTAGCCTGCCTTTCAGCTTGAACTCGAAGTCTAGCTTTACATTGTTCTAAAGTATTTTCCTGTATTTGAGCAGCCTGTATTTCAGCTTGTGCTTGAAGTCTTTGATTGCGTTCTTCTTCTGTTTCATCTGCTCTTTGTGCTTTCATTCTTTTAGCGGCAGAAGACTTTCCATAGAAAGGGCGTTTCTTGTGTGGCATAATCATCTGTATCACTAAACAATAATTTGCAATTCACAAAGTTACTAAATCACTTATGAAACCATTTAGCACTATTTAAAGAAAACTGTTTTTGGAAATCCTGAATTGACAGCAAGGTGATCTGAGTATCTCCCGCCATAACGCTTTCTATGTGCAAAACGTGCTTATTTAGGTTTGTATGTTTATTACAAAACAAATTATTACAACAAAATGGCACAATAATGATTAATTGTCAATTTTGTCATTAAATACTACACCAAATACAAAATAAATAGCACCATTAAATGTCTTGTAAAAAACTGGTTATTATGAAGT